AATCAACAGATGAGTATTTCTAAGCTAAATCAAACTTCATAATTTAAAGTTAAAATGTTTAAAGGTTGTGTTAGTGCTGGTTCTGGAAATAAATTAATTCAGGTTAAAGTTTAATAAAATAGGCTGAACTACTGCAAAAGTTCACCAACAACCGACACCTCTGATTGGACAACTGGTAAAGACAATTTTTGACTTTTGAGTAGGATAAAAAAAGTTTATAAAATATTTTACTTCTGTTCTCTTTTTCTGCTGTTAATGTTTTTAAGGTTAAGCTTATTGGCCCAGCCTATCTGACATTTCTGCTTTTTATTATATGCACTACACGCTTGCTGGTATCTTTGGTAAACCAAATCTAAACACAAACAACTCTCTAACTGAATGTCAAACTAACCAAACATAATCATCAGCACTTGAGCTTATACATCAACTCAACTAAATGAGTTACCTGCTTTAATACTTTGACATGTTTTAAGGTGAAAATGTTCAGATTCAATAAATAGAAAGAATTGATTCAGATTTGGTTATTGTGGACCCATCCCTAATCAGGACTACTGTTGGCACATCATAACACTGAACGACTTCAATCAAGTTTGAACAGGACGTTTCTAGAGCCACTCAATTGATTAGACATAAAGAAAAAAAAAGAGGAAACCTACGTTAAGGAGTCAATAGCAGATGACCAGAGTGTATTAGATGAACTGATAAACACTCAAAAACACACTCAGACCAGGATGGATTAATATTAGTCTTGAGCCGTCATCCTGTCTCTGGGTTTCAAATCACTTTTCTTCATTTACTGCACTTAGGACACACATGAATTTGCACACAGACATTAAAACCCACACAGTAGTAACACACACACTCCAATCAGGACTTTAAATCAATAGCCAATCTCATTCCTGAACCACAATCCCCCCTATGATTCATTTTCATCAAGCAGATGCATTATGAGGGGGGGTGGGATGGAAGCAACCCATCCAATTTAGCCCCGACACAAGTCGAGTCCTCTGGATCATGACGTCTACTAACTATTAACTGAGGAGACTTTTTCTTTTTTTTTTCTTTTTACAGAGAGCGGGCAGTTCAGCCCTCTGAGTATGTTCTTCTTTTATTAAGAGTGGAGAGTGAAAGCCTGCAGGGATCCAGAGAAGCCAGAGGAGGTTCTGGCTCCATTTGATCTGGAGCCGACTGGAGTACAGCAATTCTTCTTGCTGAGGTTTCAACAACTTCAACATCTCTGTGTGTTCGAACCACAACCTCAACTTCACACTGTGAATTTCCGCTGAAGTGTATTCTTTGAGTGGAATCTTCTGACAGCAGTTTTGAGGAGTTATTAAACCAACCTCAGTATGCTTGTTTACATTGTAAATGCTAATGAGCCTCTTATTCAGGGACAGCTTATTTGATGTCGTTGCAGCTCTATTACTTGTTCCATGTCGCAGTGAAAACTCATATTAATGTGCTGACAGCTTATTTTTCATTCAGCCTTATATGCAAGTACATTACTAAGTTACATATTTGCTATTTGGTAAGATATTTAATCATTTAGACATACAATTACACAAGAGATTGCCAAGCAGCAACCTCTGGTGTTAAAAAATTTTTGACTGACATGTGGGTATAGTTGTTTGCCAGGAGGCTCATGGCCCACCTTAACTCCAACGCTTTGCCTGTTAATAGATTGATCAAAGGGTAGTTTCACAAAGAAATTCCAACATGGCCACTGCCATTGATGGGCTTCAAAATGCTTCATCAGCAACCAATGGAAGACATCACTGAGAATACGTCCAGGTTTTATACTGTCTATGGAAAGAACTGCACCGTACCAATGATGCAAAAAAAGAAAAAAGTACATCTCGGTAACAGTTATTATTAAGTGTTTTAATGTCAATGAAATAACATTTGAAATATTTTTTTTAGAAGAATAATAAACTTTAAAAAAAAAACATGTCTACAGTGTATACTGATAAAGCACTCTTCGTATCTCCCAGGATTTCTCAAAGTGACTGAGTAAATATGTAGATGTGTCATACAGCAATCTCCATTTTTGAGCGTAATCCAAATTGAGAAAATGAATAATTTGTTTTACCTAAATCGACAAAGTAATTGGCAGTTACCCCCCAAAAATTACAATGTCATTATCATAGATCAAATACAAGATGTGCCAAAACAAGTCAATGGATACAGAACAATATCACCTTTTTGTATAAAACCTAATAGGTGTTCTTCTTTTTGTCTAATCAGAAAGTTCTTCATATCCCTCACAGACTACCCTTTCTGATCCTCTTCTGACTGGTGGAGTTCCCCAAGGGTCAATCCTTGGGCCACTCTTTTTGTTTTTGTTCCCTCTGCATACCGCTTGGGCAGCCCAGAGTAAACTGCCTTTCTCTCACTCTCTAACATCTGTTAAACTTGATCAGATGACAATAAAAATATATAAATTGAGTTAGTGTACTGTGTGTGACAGTAATGTTAACAGACTGTGTCTAGTGAGCATAGCATGTATAAACATGGCTTCATCTCCCAACTACTTACAAGAAGACAAATGCTGTATCATTATGCATCTAAATGCCGCAACATACACAGGGCAGAGGGAAAAAGACAGGAGAATGATGCTTAAAGAGAGGAAGAGAAATAGATTGGAAGAGATGAAGGGCGTATGTCAAACAAGAGTGCAGAAAGATGAAATGAGAATGCAAGCAAGATGGAAAGCTGTATGGACAGCGAGAAAAAGAGAGCTGTTGATCAAAGAATGAATGCGTTGGTGTTTGCAACCTTGAGGTGTCTCGTCAATTAAACACACTTTAATAAACGAGGCCAAACCAGATACAAGGGGAAAGAGGAGGATGGAAGATATGGAGGGATACCCGATTATACTGAGCTGTAAAACATCAGCAGGCAGAGGTCACTAAATCCAGCCTGCATCACGTCTTCTTCCTCAGCCTATAAAAACAAATCTCTAAACTACAAAAAGTGGAGGACGGGAAAAAAATAGAAAAGGAGAAACGCAGTTAAAATATAAAAAAGACATAGCCCGGGTCTAACTAGAGTACTCTGTTGCAGAGCCATGGGTGCAGATGACTCGTTGCATATAGGAACATATTAAAATTGAATAGTACGATACTGGCATTTGAGCTTTGGAAAGTCGAGTGTGTTCTCTAATTAAAAACTACCCAAAGGGTCTCCTGCTATGAAACAAGTCATTCTCCTCCTCGCACACACACATATCCATCAACTCACTGTACCCCCCCTCTGCCCCTAGCCTGGTATGAGCTTTTAACGAACTCTGAGAGAAAGCACTGATCAGGGAATAGTCTTTATGGACAATGAGAATAGAGAGATAATGAGCTTAGCTTCAATATCATCATGCCGTATTTAAGAGGCGACATGCAAAGATGATGAAATTCATAGCTCGTTCAAGGATGTGTGCTATGGGGTTATTAACAACATGTGATATCATTTCAGCTCCAGAGATAATGTAAACTTGTATGCTTGTATGTCGCAATGATGGAATTTAACAGTGAGCATAGTCTACAGTGTGTTGCATTCATATGTGTCTTATAGACTGCCCCATCATTACTAGGGAGGCATGTAAGTACTGTATTGAGGAAAGGAATTGTAGTATCTAGCTGTTCATGTTTAGATTTTGGGATGAAAGATATCCAGCGGATATAAGAATCCTGCTTCAAGGTGAGTCATCATCATCCCAATGTGCCTAAAGTACAGTTATACATCAATATCTATTTTGCAACCAAATCAAGTCCAGTCCTATGTAGAAAATATGATCACTGTTCCCCTGCAAATTAAAAAAATGATGTCACAAAAGATTCTAGTGCGCTTGCGTTTTCAACCTGCTTCACCGATAAACTAAAGCCGAGCCTCTGCAATTAACCAGATCTTTGAATATATCCTGTCCTGAATTATTATTCTATCTGGTTGGGGTGCAGGCACAATGGATTGAAAGTTTTTCCAAATATGATCACAAGACAGAGTACACTGGTACACTTAGAATCTCCGAAATGTATGACTGTGCTGTTTGTAGACATGTTGTCAGCTGGTTAGTTGACAGCAAGTGCTCAATTATTGCAAATATTCTCCTTTAAAGCTACTGGCCATACCACAACAAATAAGGTTGTAGCAACAAAAACTGTGTATTGAATTAGGGAAGGGTGAATTTGATGAATTAACGGTCATTCTTTAGTACCTTATACATGACAAGCACAGTGTAGGTCACACAAATGCAGAAAAACATAAAAAGGTTACAGCTTGTAAACACAACATTCAAACTAGGACTCTCCTCCTGGGCTCATCGCCACCAAAAGTGCATACCCACTGCAGGACTTTTAGCGTGTACGTTTACTGCCTGTAGCGACACTGCAAGCTACCTGAGAATAGGCCTATTACTGTGAAAAAAAACTGTCAATTGAGCAAGCTAGCGCACGCTAACCGCCTGTCTATGGCACATGCCAGTCCAACAGAAAAGCAGGCCAACTCTGCATCACTGGGTGAAAGCCAACACAAGGTTCACCCTAATTTTGGAACAAGCTTTATCGGCTTGAGCATTTCGCCTCACTGTGATGATATTCTTTTTGTTGCCGCTACGTCGAGTCCAATGAATCAAGCCAGAATTGTATCCACTCCCAAACCCCCCTCTGCGCCTTCATTAACTGGGGTACCAAAACAAACCAAAACGTCAAAATACAGGCAGAGTACAGGTTCTCTGCAAACACAGTCACCACCACACATGTATGGCAGCCCATTAGGGATGAAGTAAAGCTACTAAATGTGTTTTGCTCCTTGAAGCTGATGTCAAAATCATTGGTATGGGGTCACATATTCACACTGTGAATGGAACGATGTTCAGCTGATGCACCGCCGCAATAATGATAGCCTTGCTGTGGAGCTTGACACATAATTAAGTTGGCACCTAAGTGATTTGTGTGCATGTGTTGGCCATTTCTTTTGTTGTGTGTATGCACAGTGAAGTCTGTGGCACTCACTCCACAGGGGGGTTGACGTCCTCAGCTTTTGTCTCAAAGAAGCGCAGCACCTCCTCACTCTGAGAAATCTGTGGAGGGAGTCTCACCAGCGCCTAAATAGAGAGAGAGGCAGAAAGAGAACGATGGACATTAAAAAGACAACAGCCTGCAATTAGTTTTGTTCTTTACTCAAGTGTGTTAAGGCTGCATATTACTGCAATTAAAGGTTGCTCTTTTGTTAACTTTCACACGCTTTTCCTGATTGTGAAAATGTTTATTACATCTGTTATATCTGTGCCTCTGCCTCTGCACTGTTGTTATTTTCAACACAGAGGTTCTTAGAAAGAGTATCCCAATCCCTACAAGATCACACTAAAAAAATAATAAATGAAATTTAAAAAAATTAAGATTTTATATCAACACGTGTAGGTTGGAAGTTGTCAACCTCAACAAAACATAGAATTGTGACCAAACTTTGAAGTAGGCCTGCACAATATGAGAAAAAAATATATGCAATGTGCGGTAAAAATGTTTAATGATGTGAAATAAATTGCAAAACAAAAAATAAAGACTGCAAGTAAGCTATAACCAGGGACATTGCAGAGGATTTCAGAGGGACAAAGGGGCAATTTTTCAAATCATTAAATGAATACATGCCCAGAATGACAACTTTTCCGACACTGTTAAATGAACAATAAAATATACACATCTAAAACCAAACTTGTGATTTTTTTTTAAAGTCATACATAACAACATGTAGACATTAGGAGCTGTATCTGGAGTTAAGAGTGTGTAGAATGTGTCTTCTAGGTGGTTTCTTTTGTACTGTGGGTCACTGCCAATACAGGTAGAAACTCTTTGCCAGAGCACAGAGTACAGGTAAGGAGAACAGCCAGGGCTTAAACTGCAACGAGGCCACGGCACATCAGGTGTTGCGGTAAAATTAGTAGAATGTTTGACTTTATTTTTACAGTGGGCAATGCTGAGGCAAGCCACACAGCCCCTCATTCGCTTCAAGTTCAACCTTAGATACTAAAAATAATGAAAAACATCCCAACACCAATCCCTGACATCTCACCTTGCAGAAAGTCAGCTAAATATTTGTGGGAAAGATTTATCTCACCTCACCTCCATATTCATCTCATGACAGGTCTCAACAGAAGGATGAATTACTTCAATCGTGACAGGCAACACAAAGATGCTGATTTTGCTTGGTTAGCTAACTATTACTGTGTAGGCAACAAATGAGTCTAATCTTGTAACACATGCCATACTGCGGCTTTGAAAGCATGACAAATTCCAGCTACTATTTTAAAATGCAACAAATAAACGTATTATGTGTTAGACCCTGGTTTGTTTGTACTTGATTTAATGCCGCGTTCCATTTACCTCGGAAGTCGGAACTAGGAATGACGTCACACCCGAGATAACTGCGTTCCAGTTGCAAGTCGGAAAAGCAACATGGACGCGTCCAGGAGTACCTTTGTTTTGTTAGCTAATACGACAACAACACACTACGTGATAGTTTCTGACTGAAAATAATATAAAAAAAACACATCCACAGAGAGAACTTACACGATACCATCGGTATGATTGATTTAATTACACAAAAAGACGACTAAGCTGCTAATAAACTCAACAGTTACAGATTAAACATTCCTTTCAATGCACGTAGCAGCCATATTGGATCTGAACTCGGGCTACTGTTTTTTCTCTGAGTTTCCGAATCGTAATTACGACTTCAGGGGGTGTTCCAGTTCACACTTCCCACTGGGAACTCGGAATTTCACACTTTGTGACTTTATTGGAGAGATAGGACAGTGGATAGAGTCGGAAATCAGGGAGAGACAGAGTGGGGAAAGACGTGAGGGAAATGGGTGATGAAGGGAGGAGTTAAAGTCTTTGTCTTATGGTGCGTTCCAGTTGATCTGGGAAGTGGGAAATTCTGAGTTTAACTCCTTCCTTCATCACTTCCCTCCAAAATAAGATCCTACCAAAAAATGCATTAACTTGAAAGTTAAAAATCTGCATTTTCGGGGCGCTGGTGGTTAAGTGGTTAGTACTTAATATGGAGGCTGTAGTCCCCCAAGCGGGCGGCCCAGGTTCAAATCCGACCTGTGGCCCATTTCCCTCATGTCGTTCCCCACTCTCTCTCTCCCTGATTTCCGACTCTATCCACTGTCCTAGCTCTCCAATAAAGTCACAAAACGCTCCAAAGTAAATCTCAACAACAACAAAAATCAGCATTTTCCATTCTTTGTTACCAACCCCTTATTTGCATTCCTTCATTTGTTCTAACACAACATAATGTTATATTGCTAGCATCAATTATGAACGCTAGCAATAGTTGTTGGTAGCACATTTTAAGCGAGACTCTTCCTTCTGAATAATGTGAACCCTTTCATTACACCCATCAGTATTAAAATCAAAACAAGCAACAGTTGTAGTCATACTTTGGTCACAAACGTGATGTCTGCCTCTGCTTCAGTAACTCACACTGACAAAGTGCACGTGCCTATGCGCGTTTGCACTTGGGCGCATGCATGTACAGAACATTAAGGAGAGAGCATCATGGTGGCCTTCATCGGAAACTTGGGATTTCATCGTCTACGGTACATGATATCATTAAAAGATTATGAGATTCTGAAGAAATCTCTGCTGAACAGCCTATGTTGGGTGGCTGTGATCTATAGGCCGTCAGATGGAGCAGCATGAACAACAGATATGATTCTGTAGTCGATTCCACATTTGTACTAACGGGGTTATATGTTTATTGATAAAGCAAACTACAGTGAAAGAGAGGATCATATGTCTGACTAACCATCCATATTTAATGATTTGTTCACTCTCCACCCGAGGTCTAGCTCATGAACAACACAGAGGTGCCCGACCATGAAGATATGCGACAACATCAGCACAGCGAGGGCTTTTCATTTAAATGAGCACAGTCTGAGGCACCTTCATATTTCATTCATCAGATCTTATATTATTGAAAGAGCCTCGTGGTCGGGATTGAGGACGCCCTATCTTGCCGTGTACTCAACGTTGGCTGGACTCCCACAACCTCTAGAGAGCAGATCCCTGGAGAATACTGGGTAATTACTCTTCCTCTCTGTTGTTTGCCTCATAAACAGGATGCAGGAAGTAAACAGTGCGGCACACTCCAGTGCTGGGCTCGCTATAGCAACCATAAACATTAGAGCGCTCTGGGTTATTTGGGTAATGAGGAAACATGTGCAGAGCAAAAGGATCAGGTTGATTTCAGATGAGTGTAATTGCATTTGTTTCTTAGACTTCTTTTGGTCCCAATTACTGGGTTGACACAGTGGCTAACCTTTCCTAAAACAGGACGACAATAACGGCAAACTAATTGTTTGCAAAGAGATAAATAAGTGCCTTAATTTGACATTAAGCCTCCTAAATTTGGGCTTGAACTAGTGGTCAAAATGTATTCATGATTTCAGGGTTGAGAGTCTTATTTAGCATCTGCCATTTTGATGCTGTCTCAACCAAACTTTCAGTCATAGTTAAAGGCAAAGAGGCGGGCCTTAAGCCCCCTGACAAACAGCTACAGTGTGCCATCTTGCTGTCAGATCAATCACGCCCTTTAATCATGCACAACTCTAACAGGCTCTCTTGAGATGCCAGCCTCAAGTGGACACTCAAGGAACTGCAGTTGTTGCCACTTCCGCTATGGCTTCAATTTTCACAGTTTTTTACCACTTGGTGTTAACTTCTAATGTGATTATTAGAGATGTAACAAATGTCATCAACAGCCTGAAGTAAAGACTGCTGAATAACCATGGTCAGTAAAAAGCCAAAAAGCAGACATTTCACCTTTTTTTATAATAAGTTGGGGATCTTTCTTGCATCATTTTTTGTTGTAATACCCAAACATAACCACGCCAAATATAATCCCAAAATCAGGAAAGCTAATTTTAAAGTCAAGGCATTATATTTCCAATTTGGATGGACACTTTGATTAAGGGGATTCCTTTTTTGACCTTGCAGCTTAAGAGAGACAGGAAACAAATTTGGAACGAGAGAGTGAAATAGACGTGCATTAAAGGAGACAATTTTTCCTGGAGGGAGGAAACCTGCGACTTGTGAGTGGAGGACTGTACAGTAGACTCTGTCTGCATATAGAGCTCCTCCCATTCGGACCATCTAAACCAGAGCTCCTGAAACAGTTTCTTCAATATTTTGAGATGCTATTTTTATGTACATCATTTCTTTTATTTTATGTTTACAAGACACTTAAAGGGTTTTTACGTGGCTTTAAAGCAACCTGTCCCTCTGCTTGTGTGGATTTTTGTCTCGATGAAGGAAGAAAGGAAGGAAGGAAGTATGAAGGGCATGACAGAGGAAAGGGCCTGTATCCGGGATAAATAAAAAAACTAATTAGATAGAGAACAGGAAGTGATAAGTTGAGTCTCCCTTGAACTTGGGATGACTTTAAGGCTCTCAGGGTTTTCTCTTTATTTCTATTTAGGACTGGAGAAGAACTTTATTTCTAAGTGTAACAAATGAGGGGATAAGGTCGTTGAGAGTGAGCCTTTGAAACGAGGCCCACTCAAATTCTCTTTCATGCAGCGCAGTGACTCAAAAAAAGTTTGGTTGCACAACTAGGTCGCCCCACTTCTCTGACTGTGGCACACATAAAATAAACAACTCTCAATTGTAGGAAGAGTTCTTCACCAAGCAGAGTCCGTCAGAGCCTCAGAAAAGTCCAGTGTCAGAGCACATTAGTGACTCTTCAGAAGCCTCCAAGAGCTAAGACACAGAGGTCTTCACTGTAACCACTCTGAAACTTTAAGCATTTTTTAAGCATGTGAAAGACAGTCTGAGGGGTGACTTTTGACCCCCTCACAGATGGAGGGGGGAGGGTTGGTTGTTCCCAAGAGTCAGATGAGGAACTGAAGGATGTTTACCCTGCAGTAGTCGTCGATGAAACGCAGTCGCTTCATGGCCACGTCTCGCACATGGCTTCTCCGGAACAGGATTTTGCCTGGAGAGGAAGAAAAAAGAGGAAAGAGAGGAGATTAGAAATGTGGGAGAGGACGGATAGGGTGAAGGAAAAGGCAAGCTTGTTTAAAATGAACCTTCCAGAAACAAAGCAAATCAAAGTGCTTTGAAATTTAAAAAAAAAAGATATGCAGACACTCTTTTCCTCAACAAACAACAACTTTGAGCTTATCTGACATTATAGCCTGCACCATGTGAAAACCCAATCCCACCAGGAGATGTCAGTAATGTACACTGGTGATACTAAAGCCATCTTTGTCCCACAGTCGAGGCCCCCAGCTGTCCTCCTATATGGATTCCGTGACCTCTGCCTGCGACACGGCTTTTAGGATTCATATACACATGGGTCATGAAGTTTTCCTCTCATCCTCTCATCCCACCCATGGGGAACATAAAAGGACCCCCTGACGATCAAATGTATGCACTGACATCCTGTGCAGGAAGTGTAAAATGATGAGAGTGGTTATTGCGTAATCAGCTCATCTACAGGCTCTATTTCAAGAGTTCTACTTTTACCCTGGAATAAAAATAACTATTAATTTACATATTACATGAACATTTTACTCAAGCAATGACTTATTCATTTTTAGACCATCAGGGATTTCTGACAAGCACAAGTCTGCATCACATGAGCTGCTGAAAACCAGATCATTTAAAATAAATGTGCAAAATGTAATCGTTAGACCAGATTAAAAGTGCAGAAGTTCAGCTGGTTGTCTTTTATGTAGAACAGCTATCTATAAGAAATGTGGGAAGTATTGAAGGAGTCATAAAGGCTGCAACTAACTTTATTTTTCATTCGTTACAAACTGGGGACACTGCAAGATGCATTCATAAAGCTTAGATAATTACTTCTTCAAGACAGCTTGTTTTTGTCCAAACAGGAAAACAGAAAAAGATTTTGTTTTCAGTTAAAACTGCGAAAAAAATTACAATATATTTCTGTAATATTGAATCTTAAGTTTAAAAAATAATAATAATCAAGGCCCTCCCTGCCTCTCTGTGGTGCACAGCAGGGGCAGAGAACTGCTGACCCCTTCTTGACTTCCAGCAGACAAACCTGAGTCATTCATGTCTGCAATAAAAACATTACTAACATTATATCTGTTTCAAAATTTGCAAAAGCAAAGAAAGTTAAAAGGTGTGTGTCAGAAAAAGTATGGAAAAATAACACCAATTTGATTTATTCCTCTGATCTGACATGACAGCGTCTTAACATGAGTCCCAGTGCGAGGGGTTGGGTTTCAGCTGTGGTGCAAATGTAATTTATTTGCGCTTAATTACTGAGCATGAAATACAACAGATCGTTTTTTGTTTGGCTCCTTCAAGTCTAAAAGCAAACAACAGGATATGTTGCGTGCTACACCTGCAGAAGCTCTTTACCTGAAGCTGCTGTTCATGAATTAGATCACTGGCTAGACCATCATAGACATAAGTGTAAGTGTATGATGAAAATAATGCCGGTTGCTGCAGGAGGCCACTGTCATTTCAAAGTCATGGCTGAGTAACTTGCTTTAGAATGTGAGCCAACATGCCATGGATCATTTAAAAGACCTGGCTCGAATGTGTTGAGGAGAAATGTTTTCATTAAAATGACAAATCACTTGAATATTGTAAAGAAGACTGAAGGTCGATTCCAAAAGTGGGATTTTCTATTTTGAGTGGCAAAAAATGTAAGTTTATGGCCCATCCTCGTCTGAAATATCATCCTGTAGTTTAATGCATTCCATGAGTCTCACGCAAGCAAGGGCAAGAGGAGTTTATCCTCAAATAAACATCCTCACAAACAAACACAGACAGTCAATAATGTTTGCATCTGGTGCCTCTGGCTTCAGAGATAAGAGGTATGTGGACATTTGGCTGGGTTCCAAATAGTTTTTTTTGTATGTGTGTGTGTGTGTGTGTGTGTGTGTGTGTGTGTGTGTGTGTGTGTGAGAGAGACATCATGAGCAAACACACAGGGGAGGAGGATGAGGAGGAGGATGAAGAAGAGGAGGAGGGCTTCAGGTGAGATAGAGAATGTACAGTGTTGTTTGCAGGGTTAGAGATGAGTGTGTGTAATAATAAACAACACTTAACAAACAGACTTTGGACAAATGAATCTAGAGGAATCTGCATGACCAGCATACAAGTGTACAGAGACACACACACACACATTCCAGACATGGGTGTGATTAGCAGAATCACTGTCAGCCCTCCTGCCCTGGACTCTGAACTGCCACAAACACCCTCATCGATCACTGCCACACTGCACTGTAGGTCGGCATGAGCCTGAATGTCAGGAGACGACTTACAGCAGGAGAGACGAGCATGTGTGTGGCGCGACTCCAATCAATGTTAGGACACACACACACACACACACACACACACACACACACACACACACACACACACACGGTATGTATATCCGTGCTTATAAAATTAATAAGCACATGAAAAACAATCTCAGTTCTAAAAGTCAAACTGATTCAACGATGCCCTTAGATGAAAAGTCACACAGATATACAAGCTGGAAAACACAGCAGAGATTTGAAAGTCACAGATAGCGCCTTGTCAGCAGTAACACACACACACATCTGTACATGCATACACACAGAGACACACACACACATGCAGCACAGGCAGGCATCAGTAACCAGCTCATATTGACGCTGCGCTACTGCCAGCCATACATTATTAATATGGGAGCCTTGTTCAGATGAATGGAGCTGTGGAGCAGGCTATTACCTGGGAGAAATGGGATGATCCTCTTCTTGGGGTCTTTCTGCCCTCCCTCAATTGGGAACTTGTCAAGAATCTGCATCTACGGATGGAAGAGGAAAAACAGTTTTAGTTCAATGTGGTGGTTTTTGGTCAAATGTTGATCTTGACTCCTGAGAGTGAGATGAGAAGATCGATATCAAGCTCAATCTGTATCTTAAGTGTGGAGCGGGAGCCAGCAGCAAAATAGCTTAGCTTAGCATAAACACAGGCTGACTTGACTCGTTTCAAAGTGTCACTCAGATGACTGTGAGTACCACATTCAGGTTGGCCGGAGATAAAGATGACGTTTAACAAGTGATACAGAAAATGCAACCTGCAAAAGCAGCACACATTCCTTACGTTTTAATTGTTAACAATTCAGTATTTGTATGTGTTTTTACTTCATGAAATATCAACAAGAAATGGTATCCATTCCCATGTCATGGTTTCACAAGCAGACAACCCTTATTTTGGAGCACTGACCATCAACAGCTGGCTTTAGCCTTTGGTCACTGCAAACAGCAATCCATTGAACACATCCCCCCTTAAACTGTGAACCAGCTCTTGAATATAAGTAACCTAAATATCCAGTTAAAAAAAAACCTGTAAATAAAACAACTCTTGTTTAGTTCTCTCAGTAGAGCAGGCACCACATGTGCAGCTGACACACCAGGACGCTGGCTCCATCCCATTTTCAAACATTTCACGTCTCCCTTCAGCTCTTCTATCCAGTAATGGCAAATAAAACAACTAGGTTATTTCCAACATGTCTGATGACTTACTCGTATTATTAACTGAGGTATACATTCATAATGACTTTTTAATTGTTTTGAGAGTCTAGATCTGACTACTTGTTAAAGAAAGTGGCCACACTGCTGTCATGCATTATGTCTTTACAATGTTTCATAAGATAAGATGTATTTATTGTCATGTACAAGTACAACAAAAATACTGTTGGAGCAAACCTGTAGATGCCCAATAGAAGCAATTAAATGTAGAAAAATATACAAATAGTAAACCTAAATTATACAAGCTGTAACAGATGGGTGACATCACTCAGGTTTCTTCCATTAATGTTTACAGTCTATGGTTCAGAGTCAGTGTGAAAAGGAGGGGACGGGTGGTGGGTGGGGGCTCCGTATCCGTATCCAGGGATAGGGAGCTTCTGTGTGGTGCAGAGAGTCATGGATGAGAGGATGGGGGGGCTTCGGGGGCTCTGGGTCCAGGGGATCCGGGCCAAGCCAGGTCCAAGCTCAGTTTTTGTACTATACTGCTAAGCTTCCATTTTCCTGACATGAGCTCTTTGCTTTAGCTACCTGAAGCTTGCCTTTTTAAAACTGGATATAGAACAATCTAAGTTTAACAGTGATGCCTCTAAATGACAAACTGAAGCAATCCAGACCATCAACTGAACGATGAAGTATATAAGTGCAGTTTTAGTGTTAACAGTAAACGCCTGTCAGAGCTGTAATCAGACCTGATACAGAAAAATGAGTAAGTATGGCATGCAGATCTGAGAGTCTGGGTTTTACATTCTTCAAGACAGAGAGGATTTGAATTGTATGTACCGTATGTGTGTCTTTATTAATCATGAAATAATTCTACTCTGTCACTTTAATGTAAATATGTTTGATCTGTTTTTTAACTTCTATTTTAATTTTTTATAATTATATTCCCGTCCCCTGTTTTCTGGAGCTGCTGTAATGCACAAATTTCAATAAAGTTTATCTTTATCTTTATCTTTAATTTAAACTTTCCATTTAATAGGTCTCAATGTCCTGTATAGTTTTGAGTGTTTAATTACGATCTAAATTGGTGTATAGTTTACTTAGTACTTGCTAATAATAGTTGTAAACACATTGAACCTATCGTTATTTTTTATTTTTTTGTTCTCAAATCTTTTTTTTAAACTTTCTTTATTGCTTTTACATATTAACAATATTTCCATTTAGTAATGTCCGTACAGAATATGTATTTTTTTCCAACAAGGACAAGATAAACACATACATACAAACAAACAATTAGACCCCTCACCCCCACCCGTACCCCTCCCCTGGCACATAGCCCCTTGAGAAAAAAAAGAAACAGGGTTGACAATTATAAAAAGTAAGTGAAAAATCGCAGGATTTTTAAGGCTAGGTTCTCAGTCCAGATTAAGATGACATTCTGTGCTTTTGACATATGACAAAAAGACGTTCCAAGTGTTTTGTTTTTTTTAAATTCCTATATATTCTTATTTTATTTGCATGCTTGTCTTTCACTGCTACAACACTTGAATCCTCCCACTGGGGATCAATAAAGGATTATGCTGTCTTAAATTCATTATGGGAAAAGGCTGTGTGTGTATAGTGGATGGAGGTCACAATAACAACACTGGAGAAATGACTAGCTTACATTAAATTCATTCTGATGGCTTATCATGATGAAGACAAAACAATGCTGGAGGTTGTATATAACATCATCTTTATCAATGAAAACATTTACTGTACACTGAAACACAGTTTACAAAGTGTTTTATCTCACATGGCTATAAATAGATATGCATCCTACACATAGCAGTGTCAGGAAATACAAGATGTACAAAAAACTGCATCTTTCTTTTTACTCAGTTCCAGAGTGAATTCACATACAAGCAAGACCCAAAATCCTCACAACTCTCTTTTTGTTTGTCACTGTCCACAGAAAGAACACAAAATTAAAAGTTCCTCTTATCGCTCCCATGCACCGTTTCCAGATTGATCTCTCTGTTTAATAGAAACTCAGTGACAGTGGACGGTGGATCATTTCAAGTATTCTTGCTTATTAAAAGACTCACCATTGGACAAAAATAAACTCTTTACTCCATATTTTGGATAGGAAACATCAAGTTGTATCTTTTCCTGTCTGATGGGGATATGCAGCATTTTAGGGTTCGCAACCTTCATAAGCACTTAATCCCAAATCCACATGAGTGTATCACACATATTCTCAAAAATCAAAGCTTGTCAACACGTCTTTTGGTCCCGCAGGCTCAGAGCAGCGGTGGCTCAGTGAAGTGCGGGGTTCACGGGAAGTCAAACAAGCTCCTATTTATTCATAAAGCACGGGCGACATGAACGCAGTGAGAGAAGGAAGTGCTGACACCGGAGCTGAAGGTGCAAGAAAAGAAAAAAAGAAAAAAGAAAGAGTGAGGGAGGATGGATGGATGGAGAGAAAGACAGGAGCAGAGAGAGACAAAGCAGGAAAATTTTCTTTTTTCGTCTTTTTTTTAAAAAGAGAACGACTCCGAGAGAAGGAGAGACATAGCAGAGGTCACAGGGGTGTAGATGATTGTGTCAGGCCCATTGTGTTTACCCGGTTTCACCCTCCAAATAAATCATTCAAGAAAAGAAAGAAAAGGAGGAGGAGGATGGAGGGACACAAAGACAGAGCAGAGAGAGACAAAGAGGAAAATTTTTCATTTTGTGTCTTTTTTTTAAAAAGAGAACGACTCCGAGAGAAGGAGAGACATAGCAGAGGTCACAGGGGTGTAGATGATTGTGTCAGGCCCATTGTGTTTACCCGGTTTCACCCTCCAAATAAATCATTCAAGAGAGGGATTAGAGTGGAAGAAAAAGGCAAAGCAGAGGAGAGATGCAGAGGGCTCACACACACACTGTACAGCACTGCAGCACACTGTTTCCTACAGTGATCAGGCACAGAGAGGAGGTGAAGAAGAATGTTTATGTTCATGCATGTGTGTGTGTGTGTGTGTGTGTGTGTGTGTGTGTGTGTGTGTGGTGTGGTGGTGTGTGGGGGTGTGGTGGGGGGAGAGAGAGAGAGAGAGAGAGAGAGAGAGAGAGAGCTACGGAAGTCATCAAAATCATGGTCCAGGTTTCTAGTCTGTGCCTCCCTCCCTCTCTCCCTCCCTCTCTTCATGCTGTTTGGAAGATTTCTTTTAAGCTGCCAGGTTTCTGCTGCAGCGACAGCACAAAAACTTGCAGCAGACCCAGCTGTTTGTTTGGACCCCCCAATGCACGCTGCCAGGGACCCAAAAAAAGAAAATCCTGCTGATATAACAACACACCCTGACACACTCGACAAAACAGGAAGAGATTGATGATGGGCCAGTGAGCGAACCTTTAGCTCAGAAGCAGATTAAAATTTGACTGCAGCCCCACTTTCTTAAAAATCAATAACAAGGTGGCTTGTAAGGTGGGATCAAGCTGAACAGGGAGTGTGGGGTACTGTAAGTATTGGATATTATAATCCGGCCTATGTGTCTTCATGTGTCGATATGAAAACTTGATCTTACAGAACTTACCATGCCGATTAAATGTTTGGGTTATTTAGACATTTAGTCATCATGATGTAGTTTGTCGAACGGAGTGTGTGCACAGCTTCAATTCAGTTACATTAACGCCCACTGGACTTTAAATGTATTTTCTTTACATGCACTGTGTGAGTAGGTTACATACACTGGAAGATTTTTTTCTCATAGTCCACTGCACAGCTCCTACATTGCACCTTTTTTTTTTCTTTTTAAAGATTTATTTTTGGGCTTTTTGGGCCTTTAATGTAGAGATAGGACAGTGGATAGAGTCGGAAATCAGGGAGAGAGAGCGGGGAATGACATGTGGAAAGGGGCCACAGGTGGAAGCGAACCCGGGCCTCCCGCTCGAGATGAGAGTCTCAACACATGGGACGCGCGCCCTAACCATCTGAACATTTTGAACATTTTGTGTTTTTTTTTTTTTTTTTCATTTTTTTTTTTATATTGTACATTTTTAAATGCTATTTTATATATTGTAATATCTCCTTATTCTGTATTATTTAAGTTGTTGCTAGTTCTGCTTTATTTCCTTTATTGTTTAGCACCAATACACCAAGTCAAACTCCTTGTATGTGTAAATGTACTTGGCAATAAAACCCGATTCTGATTCTGTTTCTGAGTGAACATGAACAACATAGTTACATATCAATGATTTGCCTCTCTCTCTCTCAGCGCTGGCAGTAGCACATGTAGCAGAGCATCACAGCTAAGCTAAGTCATGGTACACATCAGAAAACAAATGATTTGTAATAATTTTACACTATCTTGGG